TTTTTGGAGATATTTTTGCTCTTGGGCACGTGTGCTCACCATAGAGACAGAGAGAGACAAAGAAACAGAAAGCAAGAAACACCACCTGGGGGGGGAGGGGATGGCCATGCTGCAATCCCTTCTCTTCTATTCTCCTCTTAGGATTTTGGGCATAAACATACATGCGCCCAGTGTGAGTTTCAAGCCATGGGGTTCAGGATTCGAACCACTATGTGGGAGTCCAGTGTAACCATTATGCCATCTGCTGGTCCTTCACTATGACTTTTTAAATAAAGTTAGCAATAAACTAGTGTGCATATATTTAATGGCTTTTTTTTTTTTTGGACATATGCAAACACACCACTGCCTACCATCAAACAACAGCGCAAGTCCAGAATCTAAAATCATGCCCATGCATGTTACAAGTTGCCTGATGGAAATGGAATAGAAATAGAATTAACAAGCCCAGAATCTTAAAATCATGCCCATGCATGTTACAAGCTGCCTGATGGAAATGGAATAGAAATAGAATTAGAGATAGAAATTAGAGAAAGTGGGTATATACAACTGTTTGGGAAGTTTAGCAATAAAGGAAGCAGAGGTTAATGGTAAATTTGGGATAAAGAAATTTTTTTGTTTGTTTTTTTTACTTTTTTATTATTATTTTAATTGACACATAATAATTGTATATATTTAGGGGGTACAGTGTGATTTTTTTAGTTCATAAATACAATGTGATATGACCAAATTAGAGTAACTAACATGTATATCATTTCAAACATTTTTAATCACTACTTGTGTTGGGAACATTCAAAATCCTCTTTTAGTTATCTCAAAATATACATAACTTATTGTTAACTATAGCTTCACTGCTCTGCTGTAGTACACAAGAGCTTTTTCCTCTTATCTAACTGTAATTTTGTACCTGTTATCCATCATCTCCCTATTCCCACCCCACACCCCAGCGTTTCCAGGCTCTAGGAACCACTCTTCTACTCTCTACTTCTATGAGGTCAATTTTTTCAGTTTCCAAATATGAAAGAGAACATGCAATTTTTTTCTTTCTATGCCTGGTTTATTACAAAAGGTTTTTTTTTTTGAGAAAAAAAATTTTGGATATATTTATATGCTGATGGGAACGATCCAGTAGTACAAATAATAGTTAATAACAACAGAGAAAGGGATCATTACAGGAACAAAATCCTTGAGGAGGGAGGAAGAGATAGGATTAAAAGCATAAGCAGAACCACTACATGCCTATTAGAATGGCCAAGACCTGCAACCCTGACGACACTAAACATTGTTGATGATGTGGAGCCACAGGAACTCTCTTATACACATTGATGAGAATGCGAGATGGTACAGCCACTTTAGGAGGCAGGTTAGTGGTTTCTTACAAAACTAAACACAGTTTTACCATATGAGGGGACTTCAAAAAAAGTTCAGAGAAAAGTAAAATTAAACTACTACTTTATTCAGGGCAATTTTATTTTTTAATTCATGCAGTTTTTTTAAGAAAAGATATGCGTTTTTCATGAACTTTTTTTTTTAATTTCTTTTTTTTTCTTTTTGGAGAGGTTTTTGCTATAGGGTGCGTGCACTCGCCAGACAGACAGAGAGAGACAGAGAGACAGAAAGCGAGAAATCACCCCCCAGGGGGATGGTCACGCTACAATCCCTTCTCCTCCATTCTTCTCTCAGGATCTTGGGCACGCACGCACACGCGCCTGGCGTGAGTTTTAAGCCACCGGGTCCAATTAGAGAAAGTGGGTATATACAACTGTTTGGGAAGTTTAGCAATAAAGGAAGCAGAGGTTAATGGTAAATTTGGGATAAAGAAATTTTTTTGTTTGTTTTTTTTACTTTTTTATTATTATTTTAATTGACACATAATAATTGTATATATTTAGGGGGTACAGTGTGATTTTTTTAGTTCATAAATACAATGTGATATGACCAAATTAGAGTAACTAACATGTATATCATTTCAAACATTTTTAATCACTACTTGTGTTGGGAACATTCAAAATCCTCTTTTAGTTATCTCAAAATATACATAACTTATTGTTAACTATAGCTTCACTGCTCTGCTGTAGTACACAAGAGCTTTTTCCTCTTATCTAACTGTAATTTTGTACCTGTTATCCATCATCTCCCTATTCCCACCCCACACCCCAGCGTTTCCAGGCTCTAGGAACCACTCTTCTACTCTCTACTTCTATGAGGTCAATTTTTTCAGTTTCCAAATATGAAAGAGAACATGCAATTTTTTTCTTTCTATGCCTGGTTTATTACAAAAGGGTTTTTTTTTGAGAAAAAAAAATTTGGATATATTTATATGCTGATGGGAACGATCCAGTATTACAAATAATAGTTAATAACAACAGAGAAAGGGATCATTACAGGAACAAAATCCTTGAGGAGGGAGGAAGAGATAGGATTAAAAGCATAAGCAGAACCACTACATGCCTATTAGAATGGCCAAGACCTGCAACCCTGACGACACTAAACATTGTTGATGATGTGGAGCCACAGGAACTCTCTTATACACATTGATGAGAATCAGA